CACACACACACACACACACACACACACACACACACACACACACACACGCCTAGTGCTCAAAGAGGCTAAAAAGAGCATCAGATGCTCCTGGACTGGAGTTACAGATCACTGTGAGCCACCATATAAGTGCTAGGAACTGAATCCAGGTCCTGTGGAAGAGTGGCCAATTCTCAACTGCTGAGTCATCTCTCTAGCCCCCAAAATTCCATATTGTTTTTCCTAGGTATACTCATGAGACTAGAACATATTTTTGCTTTATTTTGTCCTATATATTTCAAATCATAAAATTAACTCCCCAATAACTTGCTACCAAATTGATGATGTCCTTACCTTTCGCACTTATACCAGGACAAAATTTAAAAACCTACTCCCTTTTCAATCCTGGGCCCACAGATTAGTCACTACCTCCCAAATATGCTTCATGTCTTCCCTCTAAGTTTTCCAACTTGATTAGGCAGGCCAGCACTCACTCAGTGTCTTCCTTTACAGACAGACACAGACTTAAACAAGTCTCATGAATGCCTTATCCTTATATCATGACCCACAACAGAGGACCACTTTGTGGAATTAACTGCCTTTTCATGTTTTCTGGTACTCTACTCCCTTTGAACAGGATCTAAAACAACCTGAACTTGACAAACTCTGCTTATAAAAATGACAGCAACGATACAAGGCCTGTATATTGATTTTAAGAGCAAAAAGCTAAAAAGATTACCTACATAATTCCAAAAAAGGCCAAAACTTTCACGAACTAAGATAAGCACTGATAGATTTTTCTCTTTATGGATGGATATTTTGCCATAAAGAATGGACAGAAACTACCTTACATAAGCAAAGGAATTTTATACTTCTAATTCCTACTCTTATTGATGATAAAGTAAAATCAATATTAAACACCAAGTACTAAAAATAGCAATTTTTTAAGGAAAAAAAATTTACCTCTGTTCTCTAAGTGTTTAAAGCTGTCACCGACTATGTGTTTAAAATATTAAATGTTTAATTCCACCTGTATACTTTGATTAAAAGCATTTTAAGAGAAACTACAAATCAAAATAAGTTGCTGATGTGCTTTTAAATTCAAACATGAGAGTGTCTGTTACCAAGTTCAGAGTTGTACACATGCAGTGAATCATTTTTTATTTTTACTTTTTTTAGTGAATCACTTCTAACAAGTCATATAGAAACAAACCACATCTAAGTTCCAATGGTGATAACTACATAAAAAGTAGCACCAGACAGAAAATGGTTTGTACTTATATAAACCTTTTCCCTACTAAAGCCACACTAAGATGACAAACTATATTGATTTTATAAGTTTAGTGCCTACACTTATTTTGTTTTTATATTAAGTGGAAATGGGGCTGTAAGAAATCATTACTTGGATATTAAATAAGTGATCTGGGGCTCCAAAATTAAAAAAAAAAAAAGTCAATTTTTTAAAAGGTAAATACACTTCCTAAAAGGGGGAAAAAAAAATCCTGCATTTAAAATTCCTATTGTACTGTCTTAATGTCAACTAAAGAATGGATAGAAAAGGCAATAGTCTAGTCAGCCATGTAAAGAAACCAGCACACAGTTCTAATCATAACCTTACGTGAGTCCTTTTTCCTACATCCATTCCTCAGCCTTAAAATAGATTCTTAGCTATTCCCACAACAGTTGACATACTGAGAGCATCAAGTTGCCCAGTGGGCTATCTTCTGAGTTATCAACAAACAAAACCTAATAAATTCACAGCACCTTCCATTTCAGTCAGAAAGGGGTAATTTTTGCTTACAATTGCATCATCAAACTAAATTTCTCGAATAAATCAAAGGGCACTGTGTTTATAAAAAGCCGCCATATAACCAAATGGTTTAATTCACACAATACCAAAAGCAAAAATAAAAACTTACACATATAAATATAGTAGCTTTAAAAAAGGAGCTTCTTAGCTCTGTTTATCAAGGATCTGCGAAACACTGTCATTATACTTGTCATATATTCTGTCACTGGACTCTACTTCCCTTTTGGATACTAGAAACCACTTGATCTGATAGGAAACTAATGAATCTCCAGCTCCGGGACAGTGATAGGGCCATAATTAACAGAGATGTATCACGTTCAAAAACTAAAAAGGTCAAATGCTGATCTGGGACACAGTTCTGAAAGTTCCTATCATGGAACACACCACACCCACTCTCACATCAAAATTTTTATTTTGGCATCCTCATACTCATTAGAAAAGGCACTGATACTGAATACAATGGGAAATTTAACTATCAAAGACCCATTTTTACTACAAACTCAATTGTGCTGTATGTTTAACAGTACAATCTTAACTATAAAACATGTAAAACAGATAAAGCTTAAAGAACCACACCTCCCTCCATATAGATCAGTGTGGCCTGAATGCATTGTGAACAGCCTAGTGGATCATGCAAAACAACTGCTCCCATTATAGTCCATACAGAGTGGTGATATCTCCTGAAGAGCATGCTGGAGAGCAAGTAGCAACTTCTTACAACCCTGAGCAAATTACAAAAGCAATGCCTTGGCTCCGAAACAGATTAATTACCAACCGCACTGTAATTTTGATACAAATAATAACTACTGTCATCAATGATTTACTTTTTGTTTGTTTTTTTGAGAGTCAGGGTTTTTATGTATCCTTCGCTGTCCTGGACACCCCTTTTTCCCTTTGTAGTCCAGGCTGGCCTCAAACCCACAGAAATCTGTCTGTTTCTGCCTCCCTGAGTGCTGGGATTATTAGAGGCTCGACACCACGCCCAGCAAGAAAAACTAAAAATTTAACAAACTATATAACCTAAGTCCTCTCAATATCTATACCTATAGAAAGTTTAAAGCCATAGTGTTTATGGACAAACAAGTTTTCTCAAAAAGAAATTAAAATTCAAGAAAAGCAGAGGTATGACACATGCAACAATGACCACATCCTCAAAGATGAATTAACATGAATATAGAAAATAACTACAAAGTCAATTTTAATTAAAAATATTCTCACATTTTAAAGGGAACAGAAAATTACTGTAAAAAAGGTTTATCGGAAAATAAAAGTATTTTCAAACC